TTTCTTTTTAAGTTGATAAGTTCCTTTCAGCATTGTTCTGAAAAGGGTGAGAAAGTCTTTGAAACAAGTTCTTACATCCTAAATTACAATGGATTAAGTTCAATATAACATTGAAGCAACGTGCTTTTAAACTTGAGCAGAGTGGAGCGTACTGGGTTCTTAGAGTACTTAGTGCAATCAAAATAGTTTTCTTTTGAAATTTTTCTTGCTGTGACTCGAGGTTTTGATCTCTTTGCAGAGATCAAGATTTGCAAGGGTGAAATTAAAGCCTACATATTTAGTGAACTTTATGGTACTTAGAACAAAGAAATGAATAGGACATCAGCAGTAAGTATTAACATCAATAGATGCATAGTTTTTTAGGCTGCTATTTGACATCTAGAAGAATCCCTAAAAATTTGTTTTCATATTTGCCTGCAACATGTTTTTTCCAGATTTAATTCATCTGTAGTGGCTGGTTTTCAAAAACAAAATTTGAGTTTTCTCTCTCTCTCTCTCTCTTTTTTTTTTTTTTTTTTTTTTTCTCTGCTTAGCTTCTTGCATTCTTCCTTTCTGTTTCTGTCCACCTAACCTTGTTCTTACCCTGAATGTCTGCTGGTGGTTCTCATGTTTGCTTTCTCTGCCGGTCCCGCTGTTATGACCTTTAGCACACAGGAAAGGACAGTGTCTCCTCTTCCTCTGTTGTGGGCTTATGTACAAAGCTGTGGCCATCTTTGCTGGCTTCAGTCAACTAAAGCTCTGTATTGATTTTTTGCAGGTGAGTCCTAAGGCTTCTGTGCATCTTTTATTCTCAAGGTAACATTTCTTATAAAGAAAATGCTTGCAGGGTACTGACACTGGTACTTTCCTCTGACTGCATCATAGAGATTTTATATCATTTAACTTTTTTTGTGGTAGAGGATGGCTTTGTGGCACAGACAGAAGGAAGCACTGTGGAGCAGAGGAGCTCTGGGTTTAAAGCAAAGTCTGTGCTAAAAGCAAAAACTGGCTTTGGGATGAAAACATTGTTGGCTAGGAGAAATCTCTTATCTGGGGTGACTCTGAGACATAATTGAATGACTCAAGTAAATATTTGTTTAATGTGTCATGAAAAGTACCCTGGCATCCCAATTAGTGGAAATGCAAATTTTTTTTATATACAAAGAAAAAAAAATCCGATGAATTCTGGATGGCTCCAAACACACACAGGGACCAAGAGTTCAGTATCTGTCATGTTAAACTGATTAAAGAAAAATATTCTGGTTAACTTCTTGTCCATAATTACATCAGTGTTTGAAATTTTCTTTTTCATTGCAGCATGTAGCTCTGAAACATCAATTTACATAACCTACTATTTTTAGGATCAGTTTCCTTGGGCTGGCTAATCTCTGCTGTGTTGTAAAGGAACCTACTCCATGTAGATGCTGAACGGAATGGTTGTTTAGTTACCTCCAAAATCTCCTGGTGTGTGCTCCTACTTTTGGAAGGTTCAAGGTTTGTTTTATTAAAAATAAATGAGATTCGTAACTGTAATTCACCATTACCCAGCCTGTCGAAACAAGAATAAGACCTATACATGGGTCTGCAATGGTTTAACTAAATGAGTTTATTAAAGAGGGAAAGCTCTAGCATGAGGATATAAACAATGGTTTTGGAAAACACTAGGTGGAGGAAAATTGGCTGTTATTCAGTTTTGCAGTGTTTACTTGCTTTTCCTATTGTGGCAGGAGATTTTATTTTGTAAAGCTTGTTTAACCTTCAGTGTCACTTTGTTTAATCTGAGCAGCTACATGAAACATCTAAAGTGCCAACGTGTCATCCCTTGGCTAGGGCTGGGGACATGCATCCTGATCCGCCTGCATCCTGATCCACATGCCTGAAGCTGCCTGTGAGGCACGAAGTGACACACGAGGAGGGCAGCAGCACCCAGCCCACCTCCAGGAAGCAAATATTTTAGTCCTGACTCCAGTAACAGGCGTTCTGCCCCTGCTCTTCTTGCTAGGGCCTGACTTCAGGGAGGGAAGTTTTCTTTTGGTGTCACATTCTTTTGCAATGTCTCATTTTGGTTTGCAATGAATGATGCGTGGACCGCAGGGGAGGATGGGCTTTGGAGGCTTAGTTAGCCCTGGTGACTCACCAGAGAGTTTTTCAATAGCCGACCTCTTTGCAGTCTGGAGAGTGGAAGTCATTTAAATCACCTCGGAATTAAGTTTTACCTGCCTGGCAGCAGCACTTAGCAGGGCAGATGTAGCAGTGGGTGAAGGTGCCAAGGGCTGGGGACCAGCTCCTCCTTCTCTGCTCCATTGCTGACCGTAGAGGCTCCAGATGCTGATCTCCATTGCATCTTTCCAAATACTTTTTTTTTGAGAGAGCATAAAGCCTGGCTCGTTCCTTGAAAGTAATCAACTTCAGCCTTCTGCAGTTTGAGTGAAAATCTTACGGCAGTTTTACGAAATAGTCAACAGATGTTTTCCCTGCCAACAAATGGGAAAACAGTTGTGTTCTAAGATGCTTTGTTGTTGTTTTTGTTCAATGTGGAAGGTATTGTCCAAGAAATACCAGGGCGACTTGGGAGTTTTCATGAAGTTGCCTTTCAGTATCCTTTTAAGGGAATAATTTTTATTACGAGAATTTATGTCAGGCATTTGTTCCTATTGCACTCTGGTGCCAAGCAACTTGATTCTTCAATCAAGCTTGTGCCATCTGTTTTTAATTCAAATATTCATTGTAATTGAATACTGTGTTATCGAAGTGACTGTACTTGTTCCCATTTGCTAACAAGGTACATAGCTTGCTGACATCTGCATATGGATAGGTTTGAAACTTGCTGTATCCTGTAATCATTCCTTGTTAAAGAAAAGATGTGGCAAAGAATGAGCCCTCAGGAGTTACAGACTGATGGCATTCATGGAGGGGTCATGAAAATTCCTGTAATAGATTATTATTCAGTGCAATTGCCGCCCTATTGTTTCAGTGTATTGTATTGTCTAAAACTTGCCTTGCATCTGCACAGGTTTGATGCTAATTCAGAGCATACTGTTATCAATTCAAGGATTTTTAGAGGGTTTTTTTTTGGTGATTCTGTTTTGATCTGACTGCGTCAATGATTTCCTCCAACTAGGCAATGCTGTAAGGTGTCTGTAGGTTAAGCCAATCATTGTATCCCTATGGGAGCAGGGTAGTTTGTTTCCTGTATCACCATGACACTGGATGTTATTTGTTTGCTCCATAGCTTATGGTCCTAGGGGAGGATTTCATAGCAAAAATGATAACTTTCAGGTAATGCTTTTGAGTTTAGTTGGAGACAACTCGGATGTTTTAGGATATAAATAATCCCATTTAATTATATATATATTTATACATGGTTAGCTAGTTATCATTTTCACTGTTTTTGTACTTTTTAATTTAAAATCATTTTAAAGATAGCATTTAGGAATTTTGGTCAATAATTACTTGCCAAGAATATGCTAAATTTCTTTTCAGGTGATCACGGAGAAGCTGACCAGCTCTATATGTTATGTTTTTGAGCCCTAGGTAAGGAAAAGGGAACCCTATTTCAGCATCACGAGTAAGTCTGCCAAAATAGTTCCCAGTAGTTGAAGAAAAGCAGTGAACATGGTAAATTGTTTTCTTCATAGCACTACCAAAAGCTTAGAAAAGAGGGAAGCTCTATTAGTGGAGTACATTTCAGTGTGATTTTCATCCTGCTTAGGGGAAAATCCTGGTAAGTCCAAATTGTCCTTAGCTTCCCTCTGCTACTGAGGTTAGGAAACTGTAGAAAGGGACACATGAAGAAGCTGCGCTCTGCTTTTCCAATAAATCAGCTGTTGCAGATAGGTCGAAGGTAATCCAGGATTTGTCTTTCTGTTCAGTTTCTTCATCTTTAATGATGGCATTAAAGCTTGTTTCAAGTAGTTATAGATGTAATTCGCAAATGGTGCAAAGCTTATTTTTCTTTTCTTTCTCTGAGAAATATGACCTTTAAACAAACAAACTTTCTCTCCCTTGTCTTTCATTTTGTTTTTTATTACTCTGCCCTTTTTGACCTGGAGGTTTTGACCAACCATCTACTCTTTTAGTCTTCTAAACATTTTGCAGTGACAGCGTAGGTGTCTGTGTAATACATGTAAACTATGTGCCATACCACGACACAGGTTGAAAACCATTTTGTTGCTGTGTAAATTGGTTCATAATTTTTTTTTTTGCTGTAGTGCTAGCTCAGAAACAATAATATAAAATAAATGTATTTATTTACAAAAGCTTTGCATCCTAAAAAGGTGTTTAATATCTAGTAATACATTGCCATATACAAAAAATCCTGAAATTCTGACTCAAAACCTCCGTTTGTTACAATGGATTTTTTCGAGGGTAAAAATGGCAAGTTTCACTCAGTCTTAAATGCTGTTAATTTGAAGTGTGCAATTATTAGATCTGAAAGAATACCTTTAAAAGACTGTAAGTTGAATCTTGTATTTACTATGAAGTTTGGTTATAAATGTTTAATTTTGGATGCATGGAAATGTTTAATTTTGGATGCATGAGTGACCTGTTTGTGTAGCATGTACAGATTTAGTTTTTATTTCCTTGTTTGATGATGTATACAGAAAATATTGAGGATCTGCGTACTTACTATTCTGATATTGATAAGCTTATACTGCAGAGTTAAAGATAGTAGCCAGCCACTATGGAACTGAAAGGTAAAGGAGTTTTCCTATGTGATGCCATCTAAAGGACAAAAAGTGGTATAAATCAATAAATCTTTTTTTTTTTTTTTTTTTTTTTAATGCAGTTTACAGGGCATAGTCTTTTTGATAGGAAGTATGTGTTGCTTATGAACTCAAGAGATTTTGTTGGATAATAACAAAATTTTAATAACAAAATGTTGGATAAATAACAAAATTTTTTTTTTTTTTTGATTGTCAGATACAAAGTAGACAGAATATCTGGAAACTTTTTGTTATCTGCACTGCTTACACAGTGAATGTCTGTGATTCACGAATGTGGGTCAGTATCTTGTTTTATTCCTCTTGTCCTTTCCTTTTTTTGTAATCTGTTAATAACTTAACAGTGAATTATGCAAATTGCCTTAATCAGAGGAATAAGTTTGGATTATTATTTCACTTTATGTCAGTATTCATTATGTGCTAGTAGATTTCCAAATACAAAAAGATGGTATCTTCTCCAGAAGGGCTAAACTACGATGCCACAGCCAGAACTCCATTACTTTGAGTGACGTTATTAACACAGCGTAGCAGAAACATTGTCATATATTTCCTTTCAGCTGTGAGTAACTCTTAAACTAAATCCACTGGGCAGGAACTTGACGTAGCTTTTTTAAAAAAATTCAGCAGGAAGCATTCTTTTTTTTTAGGTATGAACTTAGTGGAAAATAGTGGAAAATGGGCAATGGTTTTTGCACATTTTAACATTCCTATGTTTATTTGCTTTGAACTAGCATACTCTTGTAGATATATTTTGGACATTATTGATTTGTCTTTTCAATGTTGCTGTGAATGTCTGAATTAAAAAAGTTATGTACTTTGGGAAACTGTGGCTTTTCTCTTTGTGGGTAAGTTGTAGCAGTGATGATGAAGGGTTGCTGCATGCTGTGGCTGATTTTTTTAAATTTTTATTTGAATATCCCTATTGGCTCTGTGGCAGGCTCCATTAATAGGTCCACTCCTGTGTTTGAAAGTAGGCATCCACTTAAGTACCTTGTTTGGTAAGGACTTCTGTGGTAAGTGGCGGAATGGCTTTGGGGAGCGCTGGATCTGAGCTCTTCCCCTTGCCCGTGAGTCCTCACAGCCCGATGTGCTGCGGTGGCTGCAGTGTATTTATGTGCCTAGATTAGCAGTGTCCTCTCCTGGACTGGGCACTTACACAAGGAGGAAACTGAAGCGCTGGAGGATGTTTACAGAGAGGGCAGTGGGCATTGCTGTTAATATTTTAGAGAGCCTTTTAAGGGCTGTTATATTATTAATCTGATATCTTAATAGCATGCAAAATGCATAAAAGTTGTGCCTACAAGAAACATTCCCAAAGTACCTTAATCCTTATATCGATAACACTACTATTGGGTTACACGCTTTTAATCCCAGAGGAGTTGTCGCCTGACATTAAACTGTCCAAATAGTATTTATATCTGCTGCTGCCCTGCAAGATCACTTAACCCTGCACAGCAGTTTAAAAGTAGTTAATGACAGACCCGGCATGACTTGCCCCTTATGAATGATCACATAAGTTCGACCTGTGCTGTCATGGTTTATGGAGGAAGGCAGTTTGTCCATAGCCTGCTTCAGCCACAGCAGGTAATTTGAAATGAAATGAGACAGTTTCTACAAGCAGATTGATTTGGGAATCTTGCCTGTTCTTCCCTTTGACCCTTGACAAGTTGACACTACAAAGATTGTGACTTTAAAAAATGATTGGGTGCAAATACATTTAGGTAGATGATTTACTATGTGTTAAAGCAAGGACAGTGCATTTAGAATGGAGCTGTGAGGGAAGGTAATTGTGAACTTTAACAACTCATGTTTTATGTTTCTGTATCTTATTAATTATCTGACTGGGCGAATCTTCTGGCAACAGTGGACCAAGTACTTTATGAGATAAAGTCTGTGCGAGTCCACAGATTCTGCATATCAGCATTCAGAATTTTACCTATACAGAAATAACTGTGTCTGACTGAGAAATTCGATAGGAATACTTTATTTGATTGGACAGTAAGGGTTAAGTCTGAAGCAGGACTTCTGAATGTATAGGTTTCCCAATCCAAAGATGTCTTTATTTTATTATCCTTTTGCAAATGCAGTCATGCAAATAAAAATATTGAAATAGTAAGATTCAACATATGATAGATAACTGGCAAATAGTGAAATAATGAAATGATGCCAGAAAGAGAGAGAAAATCACAATTATGTGTCTATAAATATTTTGGTCTTCCAAAGGCTACACCCTCTTGGTTAAAAAGAATTATGTGCATTTTACAAGATACTGTATGAAGATTTTGAGTGCCTTTCTGATTTATGTAATTGAATTTTTCCCCAAACCATTTTGTGATTAGTTATGTCATTTTAAAACGAATTAGCTAAGATGTATTGCTTCTGAAGAATGATGCAGGTTGGTATGTAAAGCACATATACAAATACTGCTGGAGAACGTATAGTATGAATTTCACGATAACTTTAATTTGAACATTTAATTAAGTCACAGTCCTAGAAAGCAAAAACTTATCTCTGTTAAACCACCTACCTCTAAATGTGCTATGAGTGTGCAGTTTTAAATGCATAAGACAAAGTAAATGTTTGCACAGTCAAAGTTCATCTTTTTGCAGGTCTTTCTCCTGGTGTCTGTTTGAAATGCTTTGCGTGAAGCATAATTTTGAAGATGCTTGTAAAAAAAAAAATTACAAATTATTTAATACCCTTTTGACTGTCTTCACTGAACTATGTTAAAAATATTTTGCTGAAATGTTTCTTTATGTTGTCCATTGGGTTTAATAGACATGCCATTTAATAAGCTCTCTACCTGTAAGGATAGACTATTTGACCTTTGTGACCTGCCAGTGGTAGACATAGTATAAGATTGCTTTGTGAAATAAAGCTGTCGGTAACATCAACAAAATAAAAAATGATCGTATTCCAATACTCTCTGCTGAGTACTATGACAGCACTGAAATATGGAATAAAATTGAAAGTAGATTAGTTTTGGGTCCTAAGTCATGTTTTGACAAGATATAAGAGAGGAGAACATATCTTTGAACTTTTAGTTTTAAAGTTTTTTAATGAAAATATTTATCATTTTGTAAGGTTCCTTCTTTCTTTATCACAACTGGGCTGTATAACCTTAAAACAATCCATTCTCTTATTGTGAGGGATATAAATACTGTACTATCTTTTATATTAAACATCATAAAGGATACATGCACAGTATGAAATTGCTTGACACTTGCAAGTAAAGGACTGTCATGTTAATAAAAAGCTTATTGGAGAGGTTGAAAAATCAGTCATTAATAAGCCACATATTTTTAAACTATGTAAAGCATGTAAATACTGCAGACAAGAGGGCAGTTTTTGCCATATTTCCTCCTCTCTCTTTGAAATGCTTATGGTTGAAAGCAATAGTGTAAATAACAATGATCATTGCCTGTTCTGTGGTTATTGTAAACTTCAAATGATTTGAAAAGAAATTCATTAATATTTTAAGTTACGATGATTAATCAAATGAAATTAAAGTTTTTTTTTTTTTTCTTTGGGGGGATGAGTGGGGGAAGCGACACAACACTGACATGATTGAGCATGCTAGCATTTCTGTAACTTGCTTTCAGTCTCTTCTGAAAAAGACTACCTACCAAAATATAGACACATATTCCCAAGTCACCAAAATCCACTTTGTAAAAATAGCTACACAACATGGAGAGTGGAGGAAAAACTATGTTAAAATGTTGTGATAATCTTTCTGGCTTCATCTGCATGTATAATAAATACAAAGACAATTGATTTAAATATCTCTCTATGGTTAACATTGCTGGCTTTTTACTGGTTCATTTTTTTTCAAATTACTTTAAAAAGAAATACAAATGACATAAGCTGTTGACTGTTTTTTCAAGCAAACATTGGGAATAAAAAGGTGACAAATCCAAAAAGTGAAAAAAATTATTATGATTGCAGCAGGGAGTAAATTAGTTGACATAACTCTTATAAAATGCCTTTTAATTCAGTTCTCCTCATTTGGCTCTGCTGTTCTTTTAAGTGCTCAATTGCTAGTTATTGCAAATACTTTTTTTTTTTTTTTTTTTTCTGGAATATTTACAAGTTAGCACACATGTTTTTATAGTAGTTATTTTTGAAGATGTAGAAATGAAATATGTTTCATGTATGAAGTCACAACATTTCTACCAAGGTATTGGTCTGTCTTTAATTTCAGCAAATCAGGAGATTCTCTAAACACTGTAGGAAATGCAAGTATTTTTTTTTACACTGCCCCATAAACAAAAATATTCATAGAAAATCAGGGAGCAGTGTAGGGAGATTGTCTTTACAATGCATTTAAGAGGACTTACGGATTTTTAGCAGAGTTTAATCATGCTCTAAGACTCAAAAGTTTACTAAAATAATTTGATCAGGTATCAAAGGAATATTTTTAGGACCATATTCAAATTATACCTTGAGAAGACTGAAATGAAGAAAACTAGAGAAACTTACAGGAAAATCAGCTTGGTCTGTATTGGACTGTATTGTTATTTGTTCCACTGCTTTACGTTTGCCCTTTCTAATGCTGTGAAAGCAAAGTAAATGGATTATCCTTTGGCCCTACAGATGGTTTGAGATGATCTGTTGCTGAGATCACTGGTGGGAGCAGTGTTGTTTTACTCTTTGAATTAGGTTAATCTCCATTACTATTAATTTCTGTGATTGTAAAGAGTGCATGTCCCTGGCAGCGTCATCTTTGCCTGGGGAATATTTTGAAGTCTCAGCACTTCAGGATCATTTCGATGCTGACTGCCAGCATAGCTATTTAGAAAACGAGGCTGTGGAGGAGAATGTGGGCATTTCAGCCCGCCAGCCGGGAATCTTCTTGTTCCACTGTGGTTTAAGGAAGAGTACTCTGCTGGAAACATGAAGTGCCTGTTTACAGCTGGGAATACCTCAGGAAAAGGGCAAACTAGTCCTGGCCCAGTGAAGTACTGATTGTGTGCGCCAGCAAGGTAAACGTGGCTTGGTTTGTCAGCAGCAGTGTGCAGCCACGTTGTGAATTCGTTTGAGCCAACTGAAGAGGTTCCTCTAATCACCACCCAAATTGTGAATTAATACGGTAATACTTCTTGTGGCAGGAATCTCTTCTCCTCAGATTTAAGTATGTATTTCTAAAGATAGTCTAAAATGCCTTTTTTTTTTTTTTTTTCTGTTTTCTCAGGATTTTGTAGAAGCTTGTCCTGCTGAAGATGAGCAGTTAGGTACTGAACAGCACCACGAGGAAAGCAGTCCATCCCATGGCCTGGTTGTATTCCATTTCTACTCCTTTGTTGATTTACTTTACCAGGTACCTTCTTTATCTTACCCAAACCATTCTTTGTACAAATAACAGCAATTAATTGAGTTGCACAGAACATGGGCAAGAGAAAGCAGTGCCTAGTTGCCCAGGATTTGCCAGGATTTCTTTTGGTGCCTGCAGTTTGCAGCTGCCTGGCTGCATCAGACAGTTTTATGCATTACATTGCCAACCACGTGAGATGGAGGCTCGTTTAATAATTTGTGCAAACTTAGATTTTAGTGTTATCTGATTTGCCCTTTTGAATAGGCTTAAAGAAGAGCATAGCTTAGAAGTAGAAACGAAGTATTATATATGTGTATATGTATGTCTGTGTGTATATATGTAAAACTAGCATTAAAATATATATAACTCACTAGTAAGCATATTTCAAATCCCTCTGGAATCTCTTGCAATTTTACTATGTAAAATAGACTTTATTTTAGCAACTGATTTTCCTTTCCTTTCCTTGATCATTCCCATTCTTTTTGCTTTCACAAAAAGTAAATAGTTGAGTTTTGCTTATTCAAAGGTACTTTACTACAAATCACTTGTGCTTAGAATTAAAGCTCAGGTTTTTATAATCTTTGATTTTCCTCAAAATCGTTAAGTTGCATAAATAGAGCTAATTTGAGGAACAGTATAAAGAAACCCTTTGATTCAATTTTTTATAATATACATAGGCATTGGAGTCCAAAAACATCACGTGAGGAGTGCTCTGTATTGTGCTTACAACTTATAATCAAGTTTTCATACACTTCATTTTAATGTGACAAAAAGAGTTCCCGTTTTTTCTCCAGCACTGTTCCATGAGACCAAAAGGTGGCAGCACCAACTCCGCTGTCCTTGCTCTGGCTGTTTATACCTCGTCTTCTGCATGTCGGTGAAAAAAAAAGGTGGATGGGGGTGGTGGGATTTTTAAAATGGAGACTTCATTATTGATTACAACAGTAGTAGTTTGTTAACATGAGCAATGGTATTAAATAGCTCTGCTATGCTGACTGATTCAGGAGCCATGCTAACAATTTTGAATATCCCATGCAGGCTCTGTACACAAAACTTCAGTGATTAAGCAAATGTCTGATTGTGTAAAACCAAATATTCTCTTACCCCAGTCAGGGAGTGGCAGCTGATAACAGAAGACTAAATCAGCTGCATCAACCCTGTCACACGGTGAAAGGTGTGTGCTGCAGCCCCTACGAACCGGAGCCAGAGCAGATGCTGCAGAGTCTATCGCTGGCTGGCTGCCATTCGCTGGAGGTTTTGATTAATAACTTCCAAGGAAGAAAAGAAAAGACTTTTACAATGATGGTTTGTCTTCAGTTATTCTGGTAATTATTTTTGTGAGTAGGACGTGCTAGAGAAATGTTCTGCATTTTGACCAAGCCAGATTGCTTTGGAGAACAACCTTTTTAGCAACTATTACTGCTACATATCACTTTTATGATCACAGTGAAATCATCTGAAATACAACTTATTTGTGTTGTACTGAGGTTTTCTTCTTTTTTGACGATATATGTTTATTTTTTTTTCTCCCCTATTGAATAAAGTTAATGCTACTGCTTGAAGGCTGCACTTTTTTTTTTTTCCTTGTTCCTGGCGAATACTTTCCCATCCGCTATTTCTTGAAGATGCCTACATGGCCTTTTTTGAGGAAGAGGCCTTGATGTGACTCCCTTCAAAGGCCCCACCAACTACATTTCAATTTTCCATTGGTAATCTGTGATAGATTAAATGTACTTCATCATGGATGTAATTCCATTCTAGTGGGCTCCAGAGTTTGTTGCAGAGTTAAGCTTGCAAATAGAATGCACATGCTAGTGCTGGGAGATCTGTTAGCAGCCTGGATCGCTCTTCCACTGTGTTTCTAATAGAAACAAATGTTAAAGGGGCTTGAAAAATGCTCTCTCATTTTCTGAGAGTCACAATGAAACGATAATGTACTTTGGCATTGAGAATCACAGGAAACTCCTTAGCAATGTGAAGCATGCTGCTTTCCCCCATGGATGAATGAGCTGTTCTCCACTGCAGTTTGAATCCCAATTGACTTGGGGAGAGAGACGGGAGACCATAATGATGAATGAAACTGAGTGTCCCAGATGACAGTGCAGAGCGGTGCTGTTGTGTTGTTCACTTATAAAGTACTCTAGGTTATTTACTGATATTTTTTTCAAGGTTACATTGCTGTACATAGCACAGGTCAGATCTGTACAAGAAATACTATAGTCTAAGGCATTTCTAGTAGTAGGTCTTTTTCACCCTTTCATTTTCTCTCTCTCTCTCCATTCCCCTTCTTCTCCCCACCCCCTTCCTGTTAGAGGTAAGGTTTAGAGGATGACAAACCCCATCTATCTGAGCAGTGCTGGATCTGCTCGTACAGCTCTCTGCATGGTCCTGTAATGCACTATGTAGCAATTGTGTGTCAGCTCTAAAACAAAGTTTATGATATTTTTGAAGACTCTGTTAGTTCCTGTCAATGTTAACCTAGAAACAGCAACAGCAATTCACTACTCTGCGGAGTTTATGGATCTGATGGTGCTTGCCAAGAGGGCTGTATCCCCGAGGTGGTGACGTTGTGCCGAGGAGAAATCAGAAAGGAATGGGATGAATTTCCAAACGATTAAAGGGCTGTGATATTGCATGGCTTCATCGCTGCCGCCATTGATAGCCTCATGCAGAACTGCTCCCTCATGTCACCAGTAAGCAGTCAGGGGAACTTATTAACATACAAATGCAGCAGGAGTAGTTGTTTCAGTGGCACATCTGTTTACCTGGGACTTGTGGATCTCTAATTCCAATAGTGAATTTTATTGAATGGATTAAAAAATAACAAAACATGTTTTTCAAGATTTATAGTGTATGGCAGCAAGATTTTTTTTCTTTGTATCTTGGATGTCACTTTTTTTTTTTAATAGCAATCATAACCCTTTGTGTAACTTCTCTGTTACCCTAGCTGGTGAAAAACTATGAAGCAGGCTGTAATCCTTTCTTTGAATATGTTAATTTTCTTTCTGCCTCATACGACCTTTAACCCCATAATAAGTGAGCACCTATCAATCATTCATGTGTTTATTTTCACAGTGCTTTGTGGAGGTAGGGAATACTGTAGACGGGCAGCTGAAGTACGTGGTCTTTGGGGACTTCTGCAGCATCAAATAGAATACTAGTGGTTGACTCTGGGTTTTCTGGCTGCAAGACTAGTGTTCAATAAACTATCTTACTTCTCCAATGCAGGGCTGAGGTAGAGGACTACATTTGATAAAGAGAAACATCTAAATATGTATCTTCAGTATTGCATGCAAGCATTGCACACTTGCAGTTTGACTAAACAACATGCAAAGAAGACACACAGCAGTCTGTGAACGTAACAAAGACCTGTGCTTCATTCAAATGGGTTTTACATGAAACTAGTGCTCTCCAAAAATTCAGAAATCACCAGTGTGGTGCTCATTTGTATTCAGAAGAAATGCAGTTAAGCACTGATAGACTTCAGTTTTACACCATGCCATTTTTACCAGTGATTTCTGTGCAGAGCAGCTGGATGTGGGTGAATTTTTGCCATTTATGTGTCACTGTGACCCAAATTCTGTAGTCCATAATTAAACAAAGCTCCTGGGGGCCTTCAGAGGGTATTTTGCTTTCCTTGATTTAGGATAGTAAGATTCAGCTCCAGTATTCTTCATTGTGTGCTTCCTTCATTGAACTTACAATTAATATCACACAAAAGCCTTGATTCTTCTAGAAATAGGTCTGAGGTAAATTAAATGATTGTGATGTAATATGAAATGTTTTAAAGGGTTTTGGAATCCAATTTTGCTTTTTATTTCGTAGGTGAAGGTGGAATGAAAGTTTGGTTTTTCATCTGACAGGAGACGTAATGGTCCTCGTGATGAAAGCAGTGACCTAAGATTTTGGAGATCTGTTGGATACTTGATTTTACCACACACTCCTTGAATAAACCAGAAAAGTCCTTCTGTGATTAAGCAAGTCACCCGCAGAGCAGGGATGGCAAGGACAATGTTCTTCTGTCTTCAGACAGGTATTGTAGAGATACTTCCAAAATGTAGCTGAGGGCAAAAAGTAGGAATGGGATGGTGGCACACACATAGCGTGGTCACGGGAACTGGTGTGCTAGATGTCATTATTGTGTTTACAGCACTGTATGGAGTCATCTTCACGGAGCTGCTGAAAAACAGATACTTCATAGGACAGCTGAAGTGTGAGGTGCTGCTGGTAGTCCTGGTTTGTAGGAGAAGAGACGTGCTAGTCCCTGGCTGCGTCAGGAGGAGGAAATAATGTCTAGTGGGGTTAGAAGGAAAAGCTGTAATGGTGTAACTGCAGTTACTGCTCTTTCTGTCTGTTGCAGGATAGCCCCACTGTGAGGGTAGTTGGCACAAATGGAGACGTGGTAGTGATTTTGTGCCAAGTTTCGGTATGGTGCTGGTCAAACTTTATTGCAAAAATCCCTGTGTTACAAGTTTCAAAAAGATTAGCAAAGGCTCCAATCTCTGGTGAAGAGGAATCTGAAGAAACTCTTCTTTCACATAAGGTAATGAAACTCCTCTCTCCCAGGCAACCATGCCATTTCTTTTCTGAAGTCCGTAATTAGGAGATGGTTTGATAGTGAAGCGATGATCTGGTTAAATTACAGACTGTTTTGTTTTACCATTTCCCAGAGTCCTTTCTGTGGTGCATTATCACAGAATCACAGAATTTCTAGGTTGGAAGAGACCTCAAGATCACCGAGTCCAACCTCTGACCTAACACTATTATGATCTATTTCAGGACTGTTTGGGGAGAAACAGCTCTTAACTTGGTCAGATGGTCTGTCCTACAAAATTCAGTTACATAAACTCCTGCTGCCCTGGTGTTCCTAAAACAGGGGCAAGCTGTTATCTACATGGATACTTCACCTATCTTGCTAATACTTAGAAAACATTGACAGTCAGGCTCCTTTGAGAGGAACAAAACCACAAACATTCCCTTCTAAATCTCTGCTAAGCAAGCATTTATTGTATGTATATATAAGAAGATAGGTCTATAGCAGAAAACCTGTATCATGGTGTGTAATACCATTAACATTTATACATATACAGGGCGAGTGAGATTCCTTGCCATCTTTTTGAGTCTGTTGCTCACCAGGTACTGAATGAGAAATTAAATGCAATGTTGAGATGTTTCTTTATTTAAAGTTTGTTTGACCCTTAAAACAACATAAATAAATAAATAAATCACAAGCTTAAAAATAACAGGGTTTTATTTTTAAGGTGTAAAATAGTATTTGGGTTCTTTGGACCTGCTATTAGGATTTGAAGCCTGCATAATGCACTTAGATTGTTTCCAACCTTTTTTGCTCTTATCATGGACTTCATTTTTTTTTTTAAATTGAGATCCTTCTGTATGGATTTCCCTCCAGGAGTTTAATGTTAAAGTGAAACATGAAGTATTTTCCAACATGCAGCAATACACTAAGAACTGACAGCAATTAGAGGTGGAATTGGATTTGTAATCTGCTTTAGAATGCAAGCACACTTTGTGATGCTAAGCAGGAATTAAAAGATATGAAAAATATGAATTATCTAAATTTGTTTACAGGTTCACCATAGTTGTATCCCAGCCCCTACGAAGAAAACCCCAATCCCATTATTCTCCAAGAATGGAATACAGGATAGCTTTTAATTCATGCTTTCTTATTCCCTCCAAAAGAAAACAATAAGTACTTGGAGTTGGCATAATATTTACCTAGTAAGAAAAACAAACAACACACATGAGATGGTGGATGCCTGTGTGAATGCTTTATCAGAAGTATTTTATACCAAGTATACTGCTGTGCTTATATGTGAAATGTAATTTTTGGTAGGGTGTCTGTTTGTTTTTCAATCTTTAGTGGCTTGGTGTGGACCTGTTATGAAAGTGTATTTAAAGAATATGTTGAATGGCTCATGAAATAACATGTTGTCTTGATCTTCATAATATTAATTATGCAAGGGCAAATGAGTGGATATTGTATACCTTGGCTTTAGAAAGACTTCCAGCATTGTCTCCTCTAGGACCTTGATAGCAATACGAATGAGATATGGACAGGGCAGGTGCCCAGAGAGTCTGCAGAAGGGTGTCAGAATTGCACAAAAGCTGGAGTTGTGAACTGGGGAGAAAAAAATATATATCTAAAATAGAGGTATTATTTAGCATGTGTAAATATTTGAAAGACAAATTATTAGATCATTTGGAAACTTGATTATGAGACAACCTTTCTGATGACTGGGGTCTCCTAATAGAGATCTGAATTTATTATGCCTCAGTGGGCTGACTAGAACAAGGAGGTTTTGACATACCCTTCCTCTCTGAGCTTTTGCCTTTCTTTTAATTCTATATGTAATATCTGGTCTGTGCACAGGTGCAAATAGTTGTAGAAGAAAGAATTCCAGAATACTAAAAAAATAAACCCACAACTTGAATGTCAATTTTTAAACTCCTCTGTTCGGTCATCTTGTTAGTGTAAATATATAAAACCTGCCCACTCCCTGCCCCACCAGCTCACCAGTTGGTTGCCAAGGCTCGAAGCCCTGTGAAGCAGAGAAGCTGTCGGGAGAGGGGCTTCTCTGGCACGGCAGCTGTGCTTTGCTGAGAAGAGGGGCAGCACCCAGCTACAGGTGTGGATCTTGGAGCTTTGGTGTTGGGGTTTTGTGTAAAACCTGCTTATTTTGCATTAGGGAAAGTGTTTGGTGAGACCAGACCTGCTGTGTAGTGATAGTTTTGAGGTGACAGGGCTAACCAGGACTCTCCTTAAACACAAGTGATGCAACTAGCTTTAATAGGAGGAAAAAGCTTTTATGTTTATCAATAGGAATAACAGCACACGCTTTGCTAACTTACAGGCTGCATTGCCAAACAAAAGGAAAACGTCTATGTGAGATATCTCCTGAGGTAATCAGTAGGTGTTTTTTATTCAGGCCACTAACCTGGTGCCCAACTAAAACTAAAGTTTAAGTTGCTGAGCTCATATACTTTCCAACTGGTGCTTGACAGCAAGATTGAGTGAGTTCTGTATTTAGTATGGTTTTATCTGTGATTAGCCTTGGCTAAGGGATGCTGATACTGACAGGAGAAAAAAAAAATCTTCAGCATTTTTCTGGATATGTTTGAAAGGACTTCTCTGTTAGCCACATTTGAGAAAAGTTTGCAAGCTTGATGTCTCCTTTTGCTTGCTTGCTGTGATTTCAATAATCATCTGCCATCGTAAAAGAAGAGTAAAGTGCATTCAATCTTTAGGTTAAATCCTGTTGTTTCATTGGTGTTGTCTGGCCACAGCATCCTCCCCTCCTGGTGTTGCCTGACCTGCATATTGATGCAGAAGTGACTCTTTTAGGCAGAGGAAGGAGCAGTGCAGCCGGTGGCTTCTTTCCAGGAGGTCACGTTCTCAGTCTGGGAACATCCTTCTCCCATCACTGTGTACTTGTGAGCTGTGCTGGCTGGCTGACAAGTAGGAGAACAGCCACGCATCTTCCCCTGAATCAAGTGTCAGGGGTTGTTAAGAGATAATGACTTGCCAGCACTTAAAGTCCCTTGTGTGTTTTGGGGAAAAGCAGGGCACAGGTTACCAGCATTTCTTTTCTTTTTTTTTTTTTTCTTTCTTTGTTTTCCAACTGATCTGTCCTTTTCCTAGTGCTGCTGCGAGGGTTTGCATGGGCCTCTGCCCTTGATGCTCTCCCTCTGCTCAGAACAGCTGAGGGCCTCGTTACAGAGTGGCTGCAGTGCAGAGGGTAGGACTGCCCTGCCTGTCTGCCCTGCCTTCACCTGCCCATGGAGCTGCTGATCGTCCTGCTGCTCTGGGCCACCTTTAAGTCCAGTGCAGACTTCTCTGGTCCTTAGCCCCCAGTAATGGTGCCCGTGAATTCCAAGCGCAGAGGCTTTAATAGCTTTGCAGTAGTGTGGTACAAATGCAGTGTCTGTTGCATTGCAGAATCCCTGACAGCTTTACCCGTTCTGGGAATTGTAATTGAGGTCCTGTAGCAGTAGCAAGTTTCTGGATCTTGTCATGCCAGGGTAATAGACCGATTCTGCAGCCCAAAGGGAGCAGGCGCTGGAGGAAGGGGTTCCAGATGGCTGAACATGGTTCATTTGGCTCAGTTTGTTGGAATTGCAGTGAACAAATGACTGAACTCTACTTTAATAAAGCTTTGTGGATACCAGAACAAAGGAGTTGAGGAGAGTATAAGGTATGACAAGACAATCGAGCCAGGCTACTTAGCTGCTTATGGTCCCCAGGAGTAATTGCTTATTTTGCTGTGTCTGAAGGTATATCACTTACACATTTATCAGGTGCTTAGGCTTCAAATAAGGAAATCAGATACAAGGCTCAAATATATTATTTTGCTAGTGGGAAGTTCTTTTAAAAACGCAGTTACGATAATCTGAATATATGTATTCAGATTTCAAATAACGACTCTATCCCTCAGGTTGAGTGACTGATCTTCATTTTCTCTTTGAAAACAGAGACCAACCAGGCATATTAAAAAGTGTTGCTTTTCTTGCAGGTCTTGATTCTGCAGTCCTTACATGGAACAGTATTACCTGAATGAATAGTACCATTGTACTTATTTGCAGGAATAATTGCTCTTTGGTTTTAGTAAGGGTGACAAAGTTGAGCTTTAATTTGCCATAGCAAGGACATATGCTAGTGATTTTCTCTTTGCTACATATAAACAAAGAGTGCAGAAGTGTACAGATGGATTAAGATTTTTCTGTGTTGGTATCTTTTGTTTGGTTCTGTGGTATTAAAGAAAAAAAGTTCTTAGGACAGCAATTCCATCATATGAGAGTATTTGTCTAAACTTGTTAAAATAGGGAAATATTTCTTCTTTCTCCTCCTTTAAAGAAGCAAGCTTCAGTGTCTGAGAAGTTTCTGGCACTTGAAACTGCTTTTTATCTTAGGAAAAAGAAATCAGAAGAGCCAAGTACACACAAGCACACACACACATAAAGTGTTGATAGAAGTTTAGAAATGAATACTTGCTTTTGAAAAAATAGCAAAATCAAGATTTTTTTTTTATGGAGATTTTGCCATGACTGTACCTGAGTGTGCTTATTGTGATACAGACCTACTCATGTAAAATTTATCCAGGAGAAACACAGGTTCCTTTTTTTGCTTGGCTGTTAAACCTCTCAGCTGGTATCTGATCAATTCATTCAGATCAGTGAAGAGGTTTGTCCCTCTTAAACGAAAATATCAGGAAATAGTGGTGTTTTTCTTCTTTGTTTGCCTTTTTTTTTTTTTTTTTTTTTTTAAGGTTGTCGACTCTAATATACTCTGATTACTAATTGAAACAACTCAGAGACTTTATACGTACAACTTTTTTGGAGAAGACAAATCACTGTGCAGTCCTGTTTGTGATGAGAAAGGCAGGCAGCTGGAAAAGTAGCGAGTTACCTTTGCCAGGGCTTGAATAACGGTGTGTGAGTTCTACAGGTAATTACCACAGCCAGTAATATGCTAGTTGCTATCTGTTGTAAAAAACCAAAAGTTATTAAAATTTCTATTTGTATTCA